ATATATATTATTAGTGTATGTTAATTAGGATTGGGCCAAAAGTATTTAAGCACATGGATTTGAACTTATCTCGTTTCTGACGAAGGGGCTGTGCCCCGAAACGTATCTTTATCTTTACAACATGTATTTATTTATTTGAAGTTTAATAAAATTTATTTTCAATTTGAAGCTTTATATAAATGAAGTTTTTGGGAGGCTAGTGATATTTATATATATATATATATAATATATATAATATATATATAATATATATATATATATATATATATATATATATATATATATATATATATATATATATATATATATATATATATATATATATATATATATATATATATGGGATGAGTAAGTGCAATAAGAGTCGTTGTCAGATTTGTAATTATGTAGATGAGGGGAAAGAATTTCTCGAGGGAAAAGTAAAATACTACATTTATTACAACTTTGATTGCGATTCGGCTGGGGTGATTTATTTGATTTATTGTAGAAAATGTGGGAAAAAGTATGTGGGGAGTACAATTACCAGTTTTAGGAAACGTTTTAACAACCACAAAAGTAGCATGAATAGATATGGGAGAGGTGAAAGGGGTATGGCAGGCGAGCATTTGTATGCTCATTTTTTTGATTAAGGTCATAATGGTATGCAAGATGTGAAAGTTAAAATTATTGATAAAACTAATGTTGCATGTCCCACACAAAGAGAAGGTTTTTGGGCATATAAACTGAATTCGTTTGAACCGCATGGGTTGAATTTAAAAGACTTTGTTTGAGCAATAGAGTTAATCATGCGAATTATTGTAATTAGGGTATGGACAGTTTAAATTGTTGAAATCAAGTGTACACATGTAATCTGAAGAAGGAGCTTGCCCCGAAACGTAATAAAAAGTTGTTATACGAGCTCTGATGTATCATTGATTGATTTATATAAATGTTGGGCTCTAGAGAAAGTTGGCTCAGTGATAGATTTATATATATATATATATATATATATATATATATATATATATATATATATATATATATATATATATATATATATATATATATATATATATATATATATATATATATATATATATATATATGGTGTTGTGGTGTGTAGAGTTCATCAACGTGTATTGAAAGCGCTCAATAGGTATACTAGAGCTATATAGAGTTAAGAGAGACTTCTTAGTTTAAAAACATTTAATTGCTACTCTGAGTTTCATGCTTCTACTGAAGCAATCGTCAGGCGAATGTCGATCGAAGATGTTAGATTACATGGCAAGTTCAATGATTAACAAATTACAATAAATTTAAAATGCTAAAAAGTCATATTGACCCACAAGTGAATTTGTATAAAATCTATAACTACTATATGGGTTCATTGTCTCTACATTATAAGTTCATTGTTGTATTGTTTCACGTATGGATTAAAATATTGTTTATATGCTAAGTGTTAAAAGCTATGGTTCATCGTTCTAACTAAGTAATTGCATTGTCCAATAAAAATTTCTTTGAATGTCTACATTCCGACATAAGTTCACTTCTTTTGTTGAGCGTTGCAGTCTTACGTTGACGTATTATGTAATATTTCTCCCACAGGCACAAGTTGCATCTTTTGCTAACGTTGGTGTATGGTCTAGCTTGTCTTACTTGCTTCCACTTGATTTGGTATTTGGTCTTCTGGTCTTTCAGGTCCAATATGTGTTTACTTATTAACTGCGTTACGTTTCTATACATTTCATGATTGAACAAGAATTGGTGGTTGTTATACCTTAACTTGAATTCAGTATCGCAAAGTCCGACGTACGTTTCTTGCGAATCCTCCGTAGTTACTTCAGCTTGGTATATGATGCTGTCAGCCTGACAGTTCTTGTCCATTGGGCAAGGACTTTTTTGACAATTGCAATTTTTCGTTGTATCGGCGGTGGCGTTAGGTTTGGATAATTGAGATTTGTTATGGCCCGTGATCATAGTTTTAATGTTATTCATGCAGCTGTAGCTTAGTTTGAGGTTGTGGCGATTAAATATTTTACTGAGTGGGTTTGATTTTGGAAAGTGACGGTCGTATATATATTTATATTTATGTTGTAATATAGGGGCCGATCCGCCCGGATTTTTAGGGGGCCGCAGGGGGCCGCATCATTATATATGCATGTAATTACTATGCAAGGGGGGCGCACATTATATATGCCGGAAAAATTAAGGAGTCCGCACATTATATGAAGTTCACTTAATATATGCATTGACGTCACGCGGGCAAGCTTAAACAAGATCGGACAAAACTTGCTGACCAGACTTTTTTAGCGTCCCTCCACGCGTGTGATACAATGGAGGGATTAACATTGGTTCGAGTCCCTCATATGGCAAAATTGTTATCGAAATTAATATATAGCAGAGTTATAGCCGTATCTTTGCTCGGAAGAGATAAATTTTCACACACAGGTATATTGAAGGATTTTTCGTATGTTTACACAATTATAGCGAGGAATCTATTCGTCACAAATACTCGAGACATATTTTAAACAGAATTAAAGAGTTGCTTATCCCAGGTTAACATGGCTGTCAACGTCGTTGTTATGGTCAATATTTGCATGTTGTTCAACATTATTTAGCAAACATACATATGTGCTGTTAAGATGACTGAGTCAGATCATAAGAAAGCGTATCAAGAATACTTGAAGGAAAAAAATATGCGGTCGTTATATACGTTGCTAAGTGTTGACAGTCATTAGCGACGCTTGGGTGCATGCATATATTATTGTACAACATATTTGTGCAACAATCAGGTGGGCGGGTTAGGCAAATCGCGCGGGCGGAAAGAGCGGGCTTTGCCGGCAAAAGCTTGCACAAGATTTCAGTTTTAAAATACATTTATTTCTTACAAAATTTAGTACGGTCTACTTCTAAGAGCGTAACGTCTAGGTTTTTTTGTTATATTTAATGAGTTCTCATATTCTTGTCTATCAACTGGGGATAACTTTGCAAGCTTCTCCGGCTTAATTGGAATATATTTTGGTCTGTCGCTCAATATAAAACGTTCATAATCCTTTCTTGCTTCCGGAGTCATTCGTGCTAGGTCACGTTCGGTCCAATCTGCTGGGTCGACCCAATTGTGGAAAAAGTGTCGCTTGAGCTTTGGTCGTTCCTCTGGTGGAGTAAGGTAATTAGGTTTAGGAGTAGCAGTCGCCAGTCGTCTGCTCAAACACCGCTTTATTTACCTATTTTATGGTCTTTTAATTGTACATTTTTGTTGTGAACTCCACTCCACTTGCATTGCTGTCAGACGTTCCATACGGACATAACTCGCAGAAACCAATGACATACGAAAACAGTAGATGTGACTGTTCATCACATATCATACATTAAGCGTCCTTGCCCCAGTAGAAATCTTTCCACGAACATCTTGGATATTTCATTAAGTATACAATGTGACCAGTCTCTTTTCCACAATAGTTACAAGCTAGTTTCTCGGACTCATCATCATCCTCATCCTATTCATCAGCATCATTATCATCACATTCGCGTCCATTATCACTCTTATCAGATTTCATGTCCACTTCACCAGGTTCGCTTTCAACATCACTCTCAGATTGCAGCATTTCGTATTCCTCCCTTGCCATTTTTGACAATAAATACTCATTTTCAATTTTATTAGTGCCTACTTCTACTAGGCCTTTTGTAAACAGGTCGAGCCCTCGTGGTTCAGGAATGTGAGAGTTGTATGGTAAAAGTGCGTATTGTAAAAGGTTCTCGATGTTAGTACCAGGAATGTCTCTTCCATGATAAATAATCTCCCCCTGAGGATTCCAAGTTAAAATATCGCTTGATATAAGAATGGAATGTAGTATTTTTTCTGCTGTAGTTTTTTTGACATTATTGTTCAGATACAAAGTATATCATCAATGCGCCAATGTCGCGGAGATGTTTTAGCGTCGATGTTCATTGTTGAAATGATAAATAAATTACAGTCACAGGGCTTTTCAAGTTCAGCCAGGCTTTCCAAAATAGGACTTGTAATAGTCCAAGGAAACCGTTACCATGTTGAACGAGTATCCGTTTTTTCCTCTTCCACATTTTCCTCTATCTGCCAACCTAATCATTTCATGTTTGTAAGGTCGAGTTTCTTCATTACATACTTTGATATTAAATATTTTCTTTTCATAACGTTTTCTACAGAGACACAGGCAGTGTACTTGCTCGGCGGTTGCTGTTTCCAGTAGCGCTTGTTAAAAAATAAACATGGATAGTTTTAACGAAGACCTAGGAAAGTCGAACTTCAGTAGTGGCAGTGAGCTACCAACTATTATCGATCAGTACGAAAAGACTTTGGAAGAAACTTTACAGAAACATGCGCCTTTAAAACGAAGAACTATTACTCTCGGGCCATCAGCACCATGGTATAACGAGGAAATTGGTAAAGCCAAAAGACACCGTAGAAGACTCGAGCGTCGTTGGCGAGCATCTAGACTGTGCATTGACAAAGAGATATATATTAAACAATGTCAGATAGTGAATGATATGATCAAGGAAGCGAAGACAACATATTACTCCTCCGCCATTTCTAATAATAAATATAATCAGAAAGTATTGTTTGATACAGTTGACAAACTACTTCACAGAAAACCAGAGAAATGTTATCCAACTAAGGCCTACTTTGGGGGCCAAGGTCGCCGTTATTATGTGCTACATTGTGCGACATTAGGCGACATTGGCAATTTTCAAAGAAAAGTAGTGTGCGTCGCTGGGCGAAACTGGGCGACATTGTGCGACATTGGGCGACATTAGGCGACATTGGACAAAACTGAACAGTAATATCCAGATAACGTCTAATGTAATATAATTCACAAATTATGCATCTACATAGAAAATACAACAGTAAATATCCAAATATAATTTAGTTATCAAAAATTGGTTCATGTGGCAAAGAACACAATTAGTTTATTACAAATATCAAAAAATAACAAGGAACATTTATCTAACTGCTAGCCTGACAATTTACTCAAAGTTTATACCGTAGTACACATACATGCCCATGCAGTGCATGGTACATTTACAGTATCATGGAACTCTGACTTCTTATTAAATTGACTGGGGTAAACACCTCATAGAGTTTTAAAACCTGTTTATGGACTGTGGTATGCAGTTATGGAAGTGAAAGAATTGGCATTTAAGGTAAATAAATTGTCAGCTAGCTAGCTATCATAAACATGTACCATGTAAATCATGTACCACCATAACCATGCTTGAAATCTAACCCACCAAACTGGCAAACAAATATCTCAAATAGTGCGATAACTATAAATATTATAGTTTCAATAAAAAATAGAATTTACTTTCAAAGCAAACAGATAGAAAAAAGTTTGATCCATATACATTTGTATAACTATACTGACTTACTTTACTAAAATTAGATGACAGTTCCTTTACTTTAACTGAACTAATAAATAATTAAATTCCTTTTATCCAAAACCTCAGAGACCGGTTCTTGTTCGGCTGGGATTTGAGCCCGCAATACCATGGCACGTCTGGTTTAGCTTCTAACTTGTACTAGTTCGTGTAAGGAAGCATAATAATTGTTATGGCGGGCCTTGGCCACATTTTATATAAACAACCTGTACCGTAGATCTTTCTGTGGTGCGTTCATTGCTCTGTATCTTTTGCGATGATACCTAATTATGAGATGTCGATCATCGTAGCTTCGTCGAAAAGTAAGTACTTTTATTTTACAAACTACAAAGTCGTATTTTGGAACATACTATAGATGACTTTCTTTATTTATAGATAGGACTATTCCATATACAGTAACATGTACCGGTGGTAACCCCCCTATCGAGTTCAAGGTTTTACTATATGTACCCCTGAAAAATTCCTACTGTAACAAAGTATGTCCCATGATGGTTTCCTGTTAATAGCAGTTACCACTTTAAAAATAATTCAGCATTTACCTATAGAATTTCAATTTTTGCCTTTGACCCCTGATGATCGAAATCTCATTGAAAATACCCAACATCCGGAAAAATTCCATAGCCAGGATAATTTATTTACTTCTGAGAAATTCCAGGGCCAAAAAGCAACTTACCCGAGATGAATTCCAAGTTCATTGATATAATGCCTCATAGAGACTCAAAAAGGATCGTGCACTGATTTATACTATATCTTATATATCCCCGGGCGTTTCGGCCTTTAGGATACCGTTTCGGCCTTTAGGATACCTAGTGTCCTTCACTAGGCTAGTGATAGGTATTCTGTACTTTTGCACTCGCCAGTTATCATGAATGTATCTTTGATAATAAGATCTAAGTTTGATTTCATATACAACATTTAATGTCGTGTGATTGTCTAATTTGATTGAGTTTCACAAAGAAACACATTGGAGAAGATAGCCAGAAGGCTGCCTTAACAACATAATTTAGGTAATTCTCATTGGAATAATGTGTTGTAATTCATATACATATAAACCCCAAATAACCAAGCCTCATTAATACTGGTGAGAGATGGTGCCCTAACAGCACATGCCCTTGGTGTTTGTGTACATGTATTTATGAAAAAAACATGCAAGAAACTAACAAATAAATAAGGAATAGACTAGTATGGACGACAAGCTCAAAGTGCAAAATTGGGCATGCTTGTGTGAGATTATGCGACATTAGGCGAAATTAGGCGACATTAAGCAAATAGACTGTCAGGCAAAGTTAAAAAATTGGGTGCACATGGGCGAAAGTGGACGAAATTAGGCGACATTAGGCGACATTAGGCGACCTTGGCCCCCAAAGTAGGCCTCAACTACATCATCAAAAACTGAGCTAGTTAATAATTTTGGGGACTTCTTTAGTAACAAGATAGCAGTTTTACGTAGTGATTTGGCCAATATATCCACCTATGACAATCAGTTGAGACCAGCGGAACTGTTGACACAATGCGTTGAGTTTAGAGTCTTTCAAACGGTAACGGAGCAAGAAGTCGAAAATATTGTTGACGCGAATGGCAAAAAATGCTGTGAACTCGACCCTATACCTGCAACAATTCTTAAAGGCTGTAAAAAGACTCCACTACCTACGTTTACCTACATCATCAACAAGTCAATCGAAACTGGATGCATGCCTGTACAACTCAAAGAGGCTATGTTAAAACCTAAGCTGAAGAAAAGCAATTTGGAGTTCGAAGAATACTCAAACTTCAGACCAATTTCAAATCTTAAATTTCTATCTAAGATAATCAAGAAAGCTGTTGCTACTCCACTCATGGAACATTTAGTCAATAATAACTTAGAAGAACCTCTCCAATCAGCATATAAACGCTTGCACAGTACCGAAACGGCCCTGCTTAAAGTTCAGAATGACATTCTTATCGCTATTGACAATCAGAAATGTGTAGTTTTGCTGTTGTTGGACATGTCAGCCGCGTTCGACACAGTTGACCATGAAATCCTATTGGAACGAATGTCAAAACGGTTTGGAATTAAAGACAAGGTGCTAGAATGGTTTCAGTCCTACCTTCAAAACAGGACACAAACTGTGATGATTGATGGCGTTAAATCTGCAGCTAAAGATCTAAATTGGAGAGTCCCGCAAGGCTCAGTTCTGGATCCTATTTTGTACCTGTTATACACCTCGCCCATTGGAAATATCATTAGACGTCATGAACTTGACTTTCATTTCATTTCTATGCTGATGATTCGCAACTATATCTTGCTTTTGAGCCAACTACAGATGAACAACCGGGTGCACTTGTGCGAATAGAAACATGCGTTAGAGAGATCGACTCGTGGATAGTTAGTAATAAATTGAAGCTAAATGGAGACAAGACAGAGTTGTTAGTAATAAATGCACGCCATCGCCCATGCCCGCTTATAGATCATATAGATATATCCAATTTTAAAATCCAACCATCTGACACAGCTGGTAACATTGACGTAACATTCGACCGACATATGTCTCTAAATCAACACGTGACTAATATCTGCAAGACATATTTCTTTCATTTGCGTAAAATAGCAAAGATAAGAGCGTATCTATCTACAGCAGACACTGAAACTCTGGTCCACTCATTTATTACTTCTAAACTGGATAGCTGTATTTCTCTGCTATATGGGTTGCCAAAACTCATGATTGATCGATTACAAAATGTGCAGAACAGTGCAGCGCGTTTGATAGCAAGACGTAGAAAATTTGATCATATCACCCCTGTTATGAAAGAACTGCACTGGCTTCCCGTAAGCCAACGTATCATTTACAAGATACTTCTCATCACCTACAAAGCTCTAAATGGTCTTGCACCAAGCTACATTAGGCATACAGTACTGTCCAGAAATAACCTAACAAAAACCGCGGTTAACCTAGGTCAAACCTAGGTCAGACCTAGGTCAGACCTAGGTCAGACCTAGGTCAGACCTAGGTCAGACCTAGGTCAGACCTAGGTCAGACCTAGGTCCAACCTCGGTCAAACCTCGGTGAAACCTAGGTCAGATCGAGGTCGGACCTCGGTTTGACCGACGTTAACCGCGGTTTGAGTGAGGTCTGACTGAGGTTTAACCGAGGTTGACAAAGTTTTGACCGCGTTTAACCGAAACAAAAACCGCGGTCGACCGTTGGCGAGACAGCACCGCAATTTGTTCGTCCCGTAATCGGAAATTAACGATCGTTTCCGAATTTTCGATTAAGCGTCTATTTTGATTTTTCGAAGTTGTCGGTCGCTTACAAATTTCGAGACAAATTTTTGTTTTAAAATGCCGAAATTGTCCGCGTATGCTCGAGAGAGAGTTATTAACCTGTATTCCTCAGGAGAAAGCGTAACTAAGATAACAAAATTACTGCAAGGGGAAGGAATAAAAGCTCGAGATCAGCAGTGAGCTCTTTTCTGTCTCGATATCGACGAACTGGCAGCATTCAAGATGCGAAGAGAAGTGGCAGAAAAACAAAATTAAGCAATGACCATGTCAAATTCATTGACGATAGAATGAAAGAAAACGACGAGCTTACATCGGCAGAGTTGACAGAAAAATTGTCGAAGGAATGCCATGTCGAAGTGTCCGCAACCATTGTTCGTCGGGTCAAACGAAATGTACTTGGTTGGAAAAGCGAAACTGCTCGTTATTGCCAATTTGTCCGCGAACCAAATAAGATGAAAAGATTTATATTCGCTTCCAATGCTTTGCTCAACAAGGACACGTTTGAAGACGTGATATTTACCGACGAGACAACTGTTCAAATTGAACAGTATGCCAGGATATGCTTCCGAAAAGATGGCAGTCAACCCAAACGAAAAGGACGCCCGAAGCACCCTCTGAAGGTATGTAAACATTTTTCAAGTATAAAAGTATATTATGTAGCATGGATCATTTAGTTATTTCCCTTCCCCTCTGAATGCAAGAAATATACTGGCCTGTGTCAATATGAAGAAATACAGCTCACTGCCATGCTAACCTGAAATTCAGGCCCTAATTTAGAATAGGGCCTGACACAAAACCTGTCTAAACCGTGGACGCCCACATGTTATTTTTAGACATAGTCATACAACATGATTGACAAGTGTTGTAGATTTCATTGCACGAAAATAAATACGAAAAATATAAAGATATTCATTTCATGTTGGATTATTTGTTTTTATATTCTCATGAAAATGTTCGCAGAGTGTGCATTTTGCTTTTTAAACTTAAAAATTCAAGGTACTTTTAAGAGTTCAGTTTCTCTATTTATTAATCTAACCGAACAGCAAACAAAGATTTAGTCAGTTCTGTGCAAGGACTGAATGCAAATAGTTTTGTTCGCTGCGATCTACTTTCCGCAATATAGCTCAGAGATCAACGCCGATAGGACCAGATAATAAGACTTTCACCGAAGCCAGTTGGCAGAATGGCAAAGACATCTTGGGCCTTGGCTGTCCACAACAAGCTTTCGAATGCACGACTTTTGCTGTTCTTTCAGCGTTGTGTGTCCAAACTTCGTCAAAGTGAAAGATTTTGATAAAGCCCTTTCAAAATACTGTGTGTTTGATTTATTTTCTGCCATAAAGCATTAAACAAAAGAAATTCGAAGAAATTCGACAATACTATTACGATAATCACAATGGAATTTGATCGTTTGACCTTGTCACATTGACCGAGCTATTTATAAAATATTGTTTATGTGAACTTGCAACCAATCAAAATCTTTCATGATGCTGATCAACCAATCAGATTTCCCGTCGACCAGATGGACGGGAATCCCACGGTTTAGATAGGATTAGTACCTGTAGAATCGGAATTGTCAGATTACTATAGAAATAAAATCACTTCGCTTAGATTTACATTTTTTCTGCATTAGTTTGCGACTGGCCCACGGAAATCGGCTAGTATTTACTGTATAACTATAGTACTATACTTCCTAAAAAGTAAAAGGTTCTGTCATTAGACATAAGTGAAATATTCCTAACATTTTATAGGCGGAAGCGCTTCGCTGCATGGAGACGTATGGTGATCAATTTTGCTTAGCTTTTCGCGGCCTTTGCTTCAATATACTGTAGCTACATCATACATGGACGCTGTCATAAAAGGTCATAAAATAACAAGCAAAGCTTTAGCGCCACGTATATAATTCGATTAGGCGACACCACTAGATCAGTGGGCGACACACAGTATAATATATACGAACTGTATGGAACTTAAGCGTCAGTATACAGTATGTATGCACCGTAGTGACAATCCTGGCATCACACTCGTTATGTTTATAAATTTAGTTCGCGGAGCTTAATTATGTCCCGGTTTATTGAAAGGTTTAACAGACTTACTTTAGCTGACAATCCAAGATCTGTTCACATCTTTTGAAAACCGGTGTTACAGTAAAACTCATCACCCGTCAATTCTGCACAGTCAAGGTATTGCCATCGATCGATTGATATGCTACGTGCGACATATAGAATTTGAGTCGTATTGGAAGGATATCGTTTATACTGTATATTGTTTTACTTGCTTTGACTTGTGAATCATTTTGAGGTAAAGTTTTAGGCCCTGTAAAGGCCATTATTTTTCTCGCAACATTTTTTGCCAAAGCACTAGTTTTTAGTCTTCGTTTCCAAATTCAAACACGGCATTTCATGATCTTATTAGATACAGGTATTTCTGATCTTTTTACGAAAGAAAGTCATCATCGAAATTTGTCCATCATCTATATTGTTCAAAATATATTTCATCAGTGCAAAGAAATGAGAACTATCAATCTAAACGCCCATTACATTGTGCTGTTGAAGTCACCAAGAGATAAACAGCGAATTTCTATGCTTGCAAGGCAAGTAGATCCTGGTAGAGTACAAGAATTTATGAGGAGTTATGGAGATGCTACGAGCCGACCTCATGGGTATTTGATGTTGGATTTAAAGCCAACAACGAGCGATTAAGATCGACTTAAGACGAATATACATCCCGGCGAGATTGCAAAGTTTATACAAAAACAATCGTATCGACAACCACCGCTTCTAAATGCCATGTGTGATGCCGAGCAGCGAATGAAAGAAATCATGGAAGCGCAACTGCTTAGCGCCGTTGAAAAAAGCAAATTATATTCTGATCAGCTAAACCGGTTTCTCACATTCAAAAATAAGATCACTCATTCTTCTCCTGGAATTCCTGCTCAAAGTATCCCACAAACGCCTGCAGAGATGCCACAACCCAATGAATCTGTTGAGATAACACCACCAGTGCCTGCTACTCCTAAACCTAATTTCCTTACTCCACCACCAACAGAAGAGGAACGACCAAAACTGAAGCGAAACTTTTTCCACAATTGGGTCGACCCAGCAGATTGGACCGAACGTGACCTAGCACGAATGACTCCGGAAGCAAGAGAGGATTATGAACGTTTTATAAATACATTCCAATGAAGCCGGAGAAACTTGCAAAGTTATCCCCAGAAGATAGACAAGAATATGAGAACTCTTTAAAAATAACAAAAACACCTAGACGTTATGCTCTTAGAAGTAGACCGTACTAAATTTTGTAAAACGTTTGGAAGAAATAAATGTATTTTAAATCTGAAATCTTGTGCAAGCTTTTACCTGCAAAGCCCGCTCTTTCCGCCCGCGCGATTTGCCTAACCCGCCCTCCTGATTGGTGTACAAATATGTTGTAAATTAATATATGCATGCAACAAGCGTCGCTAATTAATGACTGGCAACACATAGGAAAGTATATAACGAACGCATATTTGATAAAAACATATTTATTTTTTATTGCAAAATATATTACAACTGTTCTGAAAGTTTTTTTCATTCAAGTATTCTTGATAAGCTTTCTTATGATCTGACTCGGTCATCTTAACAGTATATATGTATGTAGGAGGTTTGCTAAATAATGTTGAACAACATGCAAATATTGTCCATAACAACGACGTTGACAACCATGTTAATCTGGGATTAGCAACTGTTTAGTTCTGTTTAAAATATGTCTCGATTTTTGTGACGAATAGATTCCTCGCTATAATTTTGTAAACATACGAAAAATCCTTCAATATACCTGTGGAAATTTATCTCTTCAGAGCAAAGATACGGCTATAACTCTGCTATATATTATTTTCGATAACAATTTTGCCATGTGAGGGACACGAACTAATCTTAATCCCTCTATTGTATCACACACGTGGAGGGACGCTAAAAATGTCTAGTTATCAAGTGTCCACAACAGCTATTCGTATTCCACAACAGCTATTAGTTATATCTTAATACACGATTTTTGAACAAATAGTTTTTCAGCAACTACTGAAATACAGTACTACAGAACAAACTACACAAGCGAAAGTGTGCAAGTATTTCCGTTTTGACCGTAAGCGCAGTTTAGTCCTACTGTACCGCGCCAACTGGCGGCCGACAGAACAATGCTAAATATAGCTTTACTTGTAACCGCATTTTACTTTGTCTGGTTCTATAAAATCCTGACCTAGGGTCATTATGCTAACAAAAACTTCAAAGCTGAGCCACCTACCTGCAATACAAACCTAGCGAATTTGAGAGCGGCAGCTGCACTCTCCCCTTGACAAGCAAAATCGAAGGGGGGAGGGGAATTTTTTCTTTCCTAAATTTTTAAAATTGAAAGCCCCCCTTAAAAGAGCAGAATTTAATGATGACCACCCCTTCACATTAGAATATTTTTCTTTGACCCCTCCTTTTCATTTTTACTCGTCAAATGGGGATACCCAGGCTTTATAGTGTTAATTATTACATAAGAATATGGAACTGACAAGATATTAACGTCGACCAAATATTTATAATAGCAGAAAATTATAAATAAAAGACGGTATTTTTATTTATAACACTAAAATCAGGTTTTCATTTGGTCTGGGCGATTGTAACCATGTTTAACGCAGAGTATTAGTGTTTGGAGGCAGGTGCAGTTTGTGGTCCAAGGCTGCAACTAGACTTTATGGCACAAAGTATGGCCAAAGCAGCTGCGCAACAACAATGATAGCAACAGTCAGTAATATTAGCAGTAAAAGGATCTAGCCATGACAATTCTGCCAAGGCATACCTACGAAATACAATGTATGGTGGTCTATGCATCCTTAATTTATGTGAGCTTAAAAATTATATAAAATAAAATGTACTACCAGATAAAATAGAATGAACATGGGTTTTGGGTGTGTGTGGGGGAAAAAGGTATCGAAGCGCTAAACTTGCTGCAGCTAGGCAAAGCATACAATGGCAGGATGAATAGCCAGACCGAAGCACTGATCACAAAGCGCGAAATAACCCCCTTTGATCGATAGGACGTCACAGACTCCCCTCATCAGATGTAGCCTGCATAATACATCTGCCGTTAACCTTGCTTAAATGTGTTTAACCCCATCAAGATAGCTGATGTAACAATACATTGTCAATTTATCTCAGCAATCCGTAAGACTGATTTGCATACGTACAGCACACAGAAGACAAGATAAATCCAGACTATTTCACATCCGTGACCATGATTTAGTTGTAACATTTATAACCAAATGGATACCAGACCAGGTTATTAAGCAAATTCCTGCAAATTTAATTGCAACCCCCCCCCCCGTCATTTTCTTGAAAAAATTTAATAGCCCCACCTTCTAGTCATTTATGTATGCATATGGCCCCCACCCTTATGTTTTCCCTCCCCCTTCCATAAATAATGACCTGTCCCTAAGTTCCGAAGGCAATTCTGTAAACAAAAAAATGATTGTCGTGCTAAACATGATAAGTTTGAATATAGTTCACCAAAAACTATTCTATGTGAGCGGAATTTGCATGTTTTCCGTGTGAAGGACAAAAGCACAGCATGTGTTGCCTGAACAGAGAAGGACAATGGTTCTTCGTCCTTCGCTGGCAAAACATACAAATTCGCCTTATGCACAATGCATATCACAAAAACAAATAAACAAAACCAACCGCCTCGCGCCGTTATAAGAAAGACCCTGGAACCTAGGTTGAAACAAAACTCACTTGAGAGGTCATTTGGCCAACCGAGGCAAGGTTATTTGGCAGCCAATTAGCGGTTACCAAATTATGAGCAGATATGGTGACAAGATTTAGTTTTCATTTGTATAGCCCCAGCGAGTTAACGCTCTATAGAGCGTCTTGTTAAATATAAAACATTTTCCGTGTTGATTTGCAGTTGTAGCCTATCAACACGAGTGGAAATTGTGAAAACGAGAAATCGGTTGGAAACGCGGAGGGTGGAGTGTTTTCACACAATTTCGAGTTTTACCAATTTCCACGAGTGTTGATGTAACTATGTAGCTATCAATACGGAGAAATGTTTTATATTTGTTTTATAGTGTAGCACAAAGAAACATAAAGAAAGAAATTTTCCGTATTGGCATTGAGTTGCATTAACACGGCTCGTAGCTAATCAGCGTTCAGAATTTACAAATGCTACATTATAATACAACATATATCGGCGGCGAATTTGCTTAAACTGACTAAATAAAAAGTTAATAAACTTGTTTTTACAAATATGTGTGCATAAATAAACTCAAGGAAATTTGACCTAATTTTAACGAAAAAACAATATTACTAACTTCGAGACTGTTGCAAACAAATTAATTTCGCGAAGACAAGTTTACCCACGCTTTTATCATTTTAAACAAAACAGGTAGAAAAAACTATATTAATGTCCCAAATTATTTTCATTGTTTTGCAATATGGCTTGTCGTATGTTTGAAATTGACAAAACATCTGAAAAAGGGTTGAAAAACCTTGAAAAAAGCCACGATTCGCAACTGTCCCATATCGTAAAATATTGGATCGGCACGTGACCCTCTCAACGATTACTGATTGGTTAAGTGCGCGTGAGTGTATAATAATAACTTCTTATTAACCCAACACGAGATCTGTACAAAGAAATATCGGACCGAGGTCGTTTTTGTACAAAGCGATCCCGTAGGGCAAGGTTTGTACAAAAAGACCGAAGTCCGATATTTCTCTGTACGTACCGAGCAAGCGAGGTTAAAAAAAGTTTATTATATGTGTTATAGTCATTTATACTTGAAACAAACAAAAAATGCATGATTTGAAATGCATATATTAGTAGCGTGGTACACATTTGGTCGAAGAAAACAAAAAATACCAATGCATTCCTTTTTTTCCACTAAAAACCATACGCAGATACCTGATTAATAAAAAATTAAATTATGATTTTCCAATTTTCAATTAGTTTTGCTGTTTTGTTTTAAAATGCATGCGTTTGTTTTTACGTAATTGCCGCCAGTCCTGCATTATGGGAAATAATGGACCGCTGAAAATGCTTCTCAGCCAATCACAGTTCGCCCTTTCAGCGGAATTAGTAATGCTTTCCATATAATAATAACAATGGTTCTCGCACTACACTTTTGTTATACTGTATTTCATAAAGGTCTTTTCTTCAATATTTTATGGTCGTTTAACCTTCCGCCTTCAGACTATGAACTAGAGAAATGACAACAAAAATATATATTAGAGTATTTATCACTTATTCATTAATTTTAAGGGTTTTTTTTTACTGGAATGGATTACGCAACAATTATTTATATCCCTACGTGATAACTATCTTAACGTTCGGTGATGTTAAATTTTTCAATTGTATTTTTATAGATATCAACGAGTGTGATGATCCAGCTGCATGTCACGAGAATGCCACGTGCGATAACACACCTGGATCATATACTTGCTCGTGCGAACCGGGCTTGTCAGGAGATGGTAAAGACACTTGTGTTGGTAAGTTTTGATTTTAGTTCGCACATGACGAAAGAAGGGTAGTAACCAAGACCTTCTTTTCTCCAGGGTATAAATACTGAATAAATATATAGAGGCTTTAAAAGTCATTTTTCGTCCGCAACAAATGCAAAGGTGTCGAAATTGTAATGAGTTGAACTCGGACAGCTTGTGTCAATTACGTTTTGTTATAGTAACAAATGTTTCAACAAGTTAAATTTCACGATTAAATAGTATTGTTTGTGGAAATACCACGTAAATTTATTACTGCAAAGCTTTCGATACATAAGCCCGGATCTTCACCAGTCCTAATAATATGTGAAAGCATTTTATGCTAATAATATGAATGCTTTGCAGTAATACATTTACGTGGTGTTTGCACAAACAATAGTGTTATATGTTTTATTGCCATGCACTATATCTACAAAGAATATAAGTTTCAAGATTATTTACATGTTACTTGCCCACAGTTTCTATGGTAATGTAGATACATTTTTTCTCAAATTTGTCTCATTTTCAAATTCCATAAAAAGGTTTTGCTTGGACTTTAAGGGGCGTTAAATTGCCTCTAGTACCCCAAGGATCCATCCTTGGTCCACTATTGTTCCTGTCATATATTAATGACTTTAACTATTATTCGGATATAATCAACTTTCATCTTTTTGCTGATGATTCAAATTTATTTTATGAAAATAAAAGTATCATTTCACTTGAAAATCAAATTAACTAAGACTTAGTTAAACTAAATAATTGGTTATGTGGCAACAAGCTTTCTCTTAACATAAATAAGTCTAATTTTGTAATTTTTCATCCTCCACAAAAAAAAATACTGTATTCAGTACATCTTTCTGTTAACAATATTGACATTAGACAGGAAAGGTCTATTAAATATCTTGGAATTATAATTGACTGTAATTTGTCTTGGAGAGATCACATTCAATATTTAATCAAAAAGCTTAAAAGAAATGTTGGGCTTATTTCTAAAATTCGTTATTTTGTTAATCTTCAAGTTCTAAAAATCTGTATTACGCCCTTATATCCATTTCTTACTTACGGCATTATTATTTGGGGTAACACTTATAAGACAACTATCGAATCTTTATTTATTATTCAGAAAAGGGTTATTCGTATTATGACCTCTCAATACACAGATCATACCATTCCCATTTTTAATCATCTTGGTTTTATTAAGTTACATGTTCTGGTTTATTTTCAAACAGCTTTATTTATGTTTAGGTTTCATAATCAGCTCTTACCTGATGTGTTTAATAATTTTTTTACACCAGTTAGTGGCGTTCATAATTACAACACTAGGCTTGCCTCGAAAAGTTCTTATGTAATTCCCAAACCTAGGACTAACTACGGTAACTTTTCAATAGGTTTTCAAGGAGCAAAAGTTTGGAATTCTATAGATGAATCATTAAAAACAACTAGTTTTCGAGTATTTAAAAAAAATATGATGTTAAATATTGTAAGGGACTATACTGGATGATCCTGTTTGGATACAATGCTTTCTCCAGACTACAACACAATATTATGCGAATGGTTTGTTCCGGTTGTTTGCCTACTTATTTTCCAACCTATCATGAGTTGCTGCTTTACTGATCAATATTTTTTGCTATAAGCAAACGTGTATCTATTTTCCCAGTTTATGTCTCCACCGTTACTGCAAGTTGACTGATTTATCTTTTAAACCTGCTATATTAATGTCATAATCTTACATCATGCCTGTTCATAGTTATTACAGGCATTTGACTGTATGTTAATTTAAATTTAAGCACTTATAAAACTTTCAATAAAAGTTCTTCTTCTTCTTCTTCTTCTCCTCTTACATGCACAACAACTGAATTATAAACAGGTTATAAACAACTGAATTATAAACAGGTTATCATTTGACATTGACGGCGAGATGTCAGCTGATGCATCAAAAACGCTTTTTGCTCGTATTTTAATAACATTGTTGCCACTTTGAAGCAGAAAGCTTTTCCACTACGTAATCTAGTTTGGAGAAACCCTAAAAACATTGGTAAAAAGACGTAGAAAGTTTTCAAGTTTCGAAATGTTTCCATTTTGGGAGTGGAAAGACAGCTGAGATCGCTTAAATCTACTAAATCTACGGGTTGTGACAATTTACCACCAAGATTATTGAAAGAATCAGCTTCTACCATTGCTCCACCGCTTACCCATATAATAAATTTGTCAATGCAGTCTGGTCTGATTCCATCCGAATGGAGATCGGCAAAGATCATACCAATTCACAAATCGGGTCCGAGATCGAGTTTTGATAACTATCGCCCAATTTCAGTTCTCCCAGCAATATCGAAAGTAATGGAGACCATCATAATTCACCGTCAGGTTATGAATTTTTTGAATGAAAATAAACTATTATCGCAAAATCAATTTGGCTTCAGACCAAAAATGTCTACCGAGTTGGCGGCGGTGAAGTTTATCGATGAAATTCGTATGAGTGTTGATAAAGGCAATTTGGTTGGAGCTGTATTTATTGATTTGACTAAGGCATTCGACATGATTAGCCACTCTAAGCTGCTAAGTAAGCTACCCCAGTATGGCATAAATGGAACTGAACTAGATTGGTTTAAAAATTATTTGTTTAGACGGGCAGCTTGCGTTTCATACAATAACCATATTTCTCAGAAATGTTATCTTCGGTCCGGTGTCCCACAAGGGTCAATACTAGATCCTTTACTGTTTTTGATATCATTTAATGACATTGTCGATGTAATTGAACAATCCAGAATAGTGAAATATGCCGACGATGTTGTTTTGTATGTAGAGGATAAGAATATGGAGTCAATCAAATCAAAACTGACGAACGATTTGGCCAATGTTGCGGTCTGGTTGGATGAAAATGATCTAATTATCAACTTAAATGAAGGGAAAACCGAAGCATTACTATTTGGAACAGCTAAGCGTATATGCAAATCAAACGAGTCTTTGTCTACACCGTATGGAAATACAGTTATTAATCTCACAAAGAAATACAAGTATCTTGGTGTTGAAGTTGACTCCACATTAAATCTTAACACTCATTTTGATGCTTGTTTTAAACGTGCATCAACAAGGTTACGTCTACTATCCAAAATTAGAGATAATTTAAACGTGGACTCGGCGAGAACGATTTATCAGTCAATGATCACACCGCTTTTGACATACTGTGGACTTTTGAATCTTAAATTAACGTCAACACAACTGCATAAATTAGCTTCTTTTCGGGAACGAGCCACTAAAGTTATTTTTAAGGATTTTCGACCTGATACAGAGCTCCCATCGATTATGGATTTAAGGAAGAAGCGTGCCTGTGAAATAGTTAGAATGATTTTAGATGGCAATATTCCGGAGGCCTTAATGGATCATTTTGTAATTAAAGATCATGGACGTGAAGCACGAAACCGAGGTTGTTTGATAATCTTACCAACCATAAAACTTGAATATGCAAGAAGATGATTCTATTTCATGGGAGCTAAATTATATAATGAGCTGCCATTGAATATTAGATCTGCAACAAGTTCTGAAGATTTTTATAAACTATTAAAACTACATTTTAGCTAATATATATTTATATATATCTATATATATATATATATATATATATATATATATATATATATATATATATATATATATATATATATATATATATATATATATATACATTATAATAGATACCTTTTAATGAACTGCTTAGAACATCTTAAACTTTCAATTTTTAACCTATTATAGATTTTTACTAAAGTAGTTTTCGGACACAGGCCACGCGTTGATAACAGCAATATTTTTGCTGAAGTGTTTTTATCCTGTTAAAATATTCGTATTATTATTATTATTATTATTATTATTATGATTATTATTATTATTATTATTATTATTATTAAGTTTATACACTGAGTTCCAAACCTCAATAATTACCTCGGAATTCCGCACCCCTTTTATATCTGTTGGCCGTGGCGTATTGCAAGGAGATTGCCTCAGTCCTCTTCTTAATTTCAATATGTGCTTCAATACTTTTATCCAACATATCAAAGCTGAAAAGTACCGTCAGTTTGGCTTCTCCTTCAAGCTATTAAATCCTATCCACTGGTTCCAATTCGCTGATGACGCAGCCGTAATCACTGGCCAAGAGTCTGAAAACCAGCATCTCCTATATCGTTTTTCCATCTGCTGCCAATGGTCCAATATGATTATCAGAGTCGATAAATGTAGTACCTTTGGCATCAAGAAAGCCATCACAAAATCAGTCCAATATTTGCCGAAACTCATCATCAGCAATAATCTGATACCAACAGTAAAGATTGGAGAGCATTTCAATATTTAGGACGTTACTTTGATTTTAACATGTCGAACGATAACCATAAGACTGAACTAACCACTCTCGTTAACGAACTAATGACTGATATTGACTCGAAACCACTCCATCCAAGAAATAAGCTTCTCGTATACAGTCGTTATGTCTTATCCAAAATATCGTGGCATTTCACCATCGCAACACTTTCTAAAACATGGGTTATTGAAAATATTGATCCCGTAGTCAACCATTACATCCGTAAATGGCTTGAAATTCCAATCTCAGGAACACTAAGTACTGTTTTTCTAACTCGCAACAAATTTGGTCAAAGTATTTATCCTCCATCGGTGAAATTTATCCAATGCCAAACAGTTCTTCGAAAAGCTTTAAAACTTTCCCCAAATCAATCAATCAACGAACTGTGGAAATCTACTAATACTCATACTAATATCCAATACGACTTTTATAACTCAACCAAAGAAGTGCTTAAAGACTTTCGGTCTGAACATGAAGATAAACTCCAAAATCAATTAACTTGTCAGGGATCCTTTTTCTCTAGTGTAACAAAGTTCTCCTTGTCGCATCTTAGCAAAGTGTGGTCTACTGCTCAATCAAAATTTCCGAAAAACATTTATAACTTTACCATACGCTATATCAATAACTCTCTTCCGACACGCAAGAACCTTAGCAGATGGGGATTGTCTTCAAGTTCAGAATGCTCCTTTTGTCTTGGCCCAGAATCATTATTGCACGTGGTCGCTGGATGTCAGTGTTATCTCGATCGATTTACGTGGAGACACAATTCAATCCTGAACTTCCTTGCCAATACCTTGCAAACTGTGAACGATTCTGCCCTCTACGCTGATGTGCCTGGATTCAAAAGTCCTTCAATAATAACTGGTGATACGTATCGCCCGGATTTGTTGCTATCGTTATCAAATGGCTCTCTTTATGTGGTCGAGCTCACTGTTGGCTATGAGACAAACCTCGAGAACAACGTTAATCGGAAAAAAGCCAAATATAAAGAACTAGTTAAACAACTAGACGAAAATTTTAACGAAGTAAACTTTATAAATCTTTCTATGAGCTCCCTAGGTATTTTTGCGCAAGAATGCTCTACATTCTTAGAAATGTTAGGAAATGTTGGTCTGGACAAAAACTACCAAACGTACTGTGTTAGGAAAATGATGACTATTGCCATTCGAAGTACATACTATATTTTTTGCTGCCGAAATAAGGAATGGGAAAGTCCGGACTTGTTAACTATTTGAAATATCTGATTGTCTTGTATATTTATATATTTTCATGTATTCTGTCTTATCATTTTTATTAGTTCATATAGTTGTGATTCAAATAGCCAATTGTAAGTTACCTTAAATTAGTGAGATTTACAATTGTATATATATAGTATATAACAAAATTATTAAAGTTTCCATTATTATTATTATTATTATTATTATTATTATTATTATTATTATTATTATTATTATTATTATTATTATTATTATTATTATTATTATTATTACTGAATTATAAAAAGCTTATGAACAACTGAATTACCAACTGAATTACCAAACTAAGAAAAGAAAGAGTACTAAGTGTAAACGGGCTTGATGTTTCCAGAAGCTTGTAACGTTTTGTCGGATTTGATTTCGACAATATCCGAAATTAATAATGGTAATTGAACTGAGTGGAGTGCAATTTGGATTGAAATCAAACGCGTGATTACAAAATGGTACGACCGCGAAGCGGGAGTGCGATTTGTAATCACAAGTTTGATTTCAGTCCAAAATTGCACGACACGAAGTTCAATTTCCACTTTATTATATTCATTTTGAAATCTTAATTAAATATTTTTGTAAACCGCAAACGGTTTTGTTTGCAAAAGACACACCTCCGGTATCTCCCTGAGTGCTGTAGCATAGCAACAATAAGATGAACAATAGTTATTATAGTTTTGCTGCAAAAATGGTTAAAATGTTAAAGAAATGGAGACATTTATTAAGAATAAGATACAACACAAGTGAGTTTAAATATATTGTAGGTTTTACGAGTGATTTGCAAGAGTTTTGGTGCAGTTTTGTGCGTTTAAAATTGGAAATACGATAGTCGAATTTACCTTTGATACTTTTTTCGGGCTTTGTTTTCCCTGACGCTTTATAAAATTTACTTTTGTTGGCGTTTTTGCCTGTTTATAATTTAAGAAATTTGAACAAAATTTTAAATTCTTTGCAATTATTTGATAGTTTACTGTAGCTATCCATATTTTTTTGTTTTTATGTGCCAAAAATTGCTTAGGCACTCAAGGGCAGTCATGACATATGTAAATTTTTTGTTTTTGCTCATTTGCGATATCACATTTTTCTTAAAATTGATTGGCTGTTTGAATCCTATGATTAGATATGATTGGTTGGTTGAAGTCAGCACTCAAATGTGATTGGTTGAAAGAAGGTGCGATTTCAGCACGAATCGCACTGCTATGAGTGCGATTTGTGCTGAAATCGAACGCCTGTGAAACAATCAGATAGCGGGAAACACCATTGATTTCAAAATGAATATAATAAATGGAGATATCGAGCTGTCCTAAATGCGCGTGAAATCATAAAATCGTTTCCTCGAACATCTCAGGTTCTTCCTTTGGTTTTCACCTGGTTCTTTCTCGTTTAGGTCCAAGGTATAAGCCAATAATTTGAACAATAACATACCCAGGAAAAAACCCATGAAAAACCTGCCTTTGCATGAATTAAGCACACTTAACAATTATTCGCCGAAAGCGAGGTGATTATCGGTGAATAGGGGCCGTGGAACAGTGGGGGGGGGGGGAGCAATGGGGGCATGCGCCCCCACTTTTTTTAAAAGTGAAAGAAGTGAAAAGTGCCCTTTTTCTGGTCTAAAGTGGCCCATTTAAAGAACATAAAAATTGTTTCTTGGAAGAAAGTGCCCTTTTTGCTGTAGTAAAGACTCTGTAAAGGCCATTTCCGACGTACGTTACAAAGACTCCATATTTTCAAAAATTTTCATTCGGCTCGTGAACAACATTTTGGTCATATACAAAAGTGCCCCTTTTGGCCATGCTCCTCCACTTTCGAAATGCTTCGGCGGCCTCTGTCGGTGAATAAGAACCGAGAACAACGTCGTGGTATTTATTTACGAGAATCAACGTGCCTGATGTGAATAATTGTTTTACTATAAATTCATAGATGATATTTGGAAAAAATAAAAAAATACACATTTTTTCATCATTTCACCAAAACTTTTTTTCGAGCAATAGTTTTACATTCCATTTCGCCAATTTTCAAGCCATTCCTGAAAACATTAATGATAAACAGAAACTATTTTTTAATTGTAGGTCTGGTGAAAAAGTCATTCCATCATTTTGAAAGCGTGCGTGTATAAGAAACACCGCAACACTAAAACAGTTATTACCGTAAACCAGCCGAAAACAGTTTTATTTCTGAATTTTAATTAAACTTATCTTTGGATATTTTGTACGTTTTATTCATTGAAAAATTTATCCTAAAAAACTCAGGCTCAGTGATTACGGTGAATGTTCACCTCAACCTCGTAACTGCAACCAACCAACGTGAATAATTTTCAATAATCACCTATGTAATTATACTAATATGAGTAATAATATACATAAAGATATTACTCGACTGTGATTGGTTGATTTCAGTGCAGTTAATCCCAAACAGCAGTGCAATTTTCTGTAATCACAGTGCAATTTTTTGTAATCACAGTGCAATTTTCTGTAATCACAGTGCAAAAATCTGTAACAAACTGATCTGATTGGTGGAAAAACATTGTGATGATTAAATCAACCAATCAGTTTAAAGCAGTTTAGTTTTAAAGAAGTAACGGTCACAGATTGCTTCAAAACAAAACAAACATGGCGCCGCGCTACACAAAGTAAAAGTTGCCTTCGCGTGGAAAATATGGCTTTTATCTTTATTTTTAAATGGAAAAGCATTTACCTTAAACAAGACTAACAAAAATTACACAGTTGAGTGGAATTTTCAAGCTGTTAGCGTTGTATAATGTGATAAAACAAAGCCAGGAAAACTTTGCCAGTGGAATGTTCGCTATAAACGCGTAAGTTAAAACTACAATTGTCTCGAACATTTTTATGTAAATTATTAATAAGTAATAGCATGGTTTCTCGTGAAATTTGGATAAACATGCACTCGTGAGTTTTTCAAAGACCTCAAATAGCACTCGTCCTTCGGACTCGTGCTATTTTGAGGTCTTTGAAAAACTCACTCGTGCATGTTATATCCAAATTGCACTCGAAACCATGCTATTACCTATACTTAATGTATTTCTCTGCCCAGCCTCATAAATTCAGCACTCTTTTTGACATAAGATTAGTATCAAATCGAATCAAATTTATTTAGCCATAAAGAAATAATATCACACAAAAGAAATAATAAATATACATTATACTTGTCAAGAGAGCCAAATAGAAACCACTAGGCTTATTAATTTTGGGCTACCTTAATCGTACTGTTCATATAAATGGAATAATTCGTGCGCAATTGGAGACAAATCCGAATTCATTAGTGTAATTACATTTTAAACATCTACCTATAGTCACCCTTAATTGATATAATAATTAGAACTAGTTGTTCAAAGTTAAAAAAAAAAAGATATCACGTGTAATGTCAGAAATAAAAAAAGAGAGATTTAACAAGGGTGATATATTTATAGGTATAATGAACACTATTATAGCAATTAGGTGTTAGGGAATTAGAGGATAATATGTTAAAGATTAAAAAGATATTCTTTAAGTTTTATTCAGAAAACTAAAAACGGATGAAGCTTCACAGATATCCTGAGGGAGAGAGTTTAAAGAATTTAACGCCTTGGTAGCTGATAGAAAATTGTCTAATATTTGTTCTACAGAAAGGAAGAAAGTATAACTTTCAATTACGTATGCAGTAATTGTGCACCTGATTTATATTTTGGAATTGCCTAAATGAAAGAGATAAATTTTATCAAAAGGGAGAATTCCAAGTTCTTTGAAAAAAGGTTTGGTGTGGCGTCATATGACGCTTTATATTCAATTCTTATCAATTCTTTCTGTAGTAAAACAATACGTTTAGACTGAATGGATAAGTTGAGCTCATACTAAAATACAATATTGCATATACAGATAAACAAGGTAATAATATAACATAACTAGTGCTCTTGTATGGAGATAAAACTGGCTTTCTTTATAATTCCGACCGATCATTTGGACATTTTCCTAGAAGTTTGTGCAATGTGTGATTTCCAAGTCAGATGTTCGTCTGGGATTACCCCAAGAAAGCTAGCTTCATTGGCCAAATCTATATTATAGTTATTTAAGGCAATTTTTTGATTAATATATATAATACTTTTTTTGCTTTGGTTTAAAAATCATTGAGCCTTGAGGTACCCCACAGTGTATAGGAGCTTTATTCGAACAAGCACCATTATGCTGTACATATTGGAGTCGATTATTCAAATAACTTTTGAACCAATCAAGTGCAGTACTACGGATTCCATAGTGCTTAAGAGGCTGTCTCCGTAACACGGATTCCATAGTGCTTAAGAGGCTGTCTCCGTAAAAACCTCCTGGTCAATATGGGGCCCAAAAATAGATTTCTCTCCTACTCTACTATTTTGAAGATCTATCCTTGGGAACAACTAAAATCGATTTCATTTTACTCAAATTTCCTTTAAATTATTTTTGGGGGCGATTGATGTTCGATCGGGTGGTAACCAACTTGAACTCCGAATGAAGGCAAAATATCGACATATTTTCAGCGCTATTTTTTAAATCAAATTCATACCTGAATTTCAAAATTTTTGGCTCAGAAATATAGACTTATCCTTCTATTTTCGTTGGTGATATGACTTAGATAATTATTCTTTGGTATAAAATAGAAAACAGCGGAGTTATTGACCCTCCTGAACAGATAACGGATATCATCTCAAAATATATCAACTTCGAAAGCTTATTTCAAAATCGTGGCACTTGATTGGCAATGATATACTTCCGGTTTGAGACCCCCCATGGGGCCTCGTGTTGTTGTTGTACTTATCTTGTAAAAATACAAAAAGCTCGAAGACTATTACATTGTGACAGGAGTGCGATTTTACTGAATATCGACCGTATAAGCTACAGTCATGGCTCTTAGCGGTATTGAACTTCTTGTGATGCAATGGGACGGCGAAAATCTCAAGGAAAATTGGCGACGTTTTAAACAACATGTCGAATTAATGTTCTCTGGACCGCTGAGATCAAAAAACGAAGCGGAGAAATGCAGCTACCTACTCATCTGGGTAGGGCAAAAAGGGAGGGATATATACAACACATGGTCGAATATCTCAGAAACAAACAGAGGTAAATTAAAAACATATTATGATCGATTCGAAAAGCATGTCAATCCGAAAGCAAACCCCGTCTTTGCCAGATATAAGTTTCATAACAAAATACAAGGCCCCACCGAGCCAGTAGAGGAATTCACAACAGAGTTACAACTCCTAGTCCAAGATTGTGAGTTCCACGACCAAAATGAAATGGTTAGAGACCGAATTGTGTTTGGGACAAATTCAAACAAAGTGAGGGAAAAACTTATAATGGAAGGGGCAGAACTCACGCTAGAAAAAGCTATACAAATCGCAAGAACCTATGAAAAAACCCAAGCCCAACTCAAAAGCATGTCTCCTGAAAACAAGGAAGAAAGCATTCACTTAGTCAGACAGCAAAACCAAGGCAGTCAATCTCAAAGATCGAGACAATCACTTGACCAAAAGTACCCCCAGCAATCACTTGAACAAAAGTACCCCCAGCAAATAAGCCAGTGTGGGAACTGTGGGAGAAAGCACTACAGATCAGAGAAATGTCCAGCAAAAGGGCAAACCTGTTACCTATGCAACAAGCCCAACCATTTTGCACAAGTATGTCGATCAAAAGGGAGGCGGAGCCAAATACACCCTATCGAGAAGGTAGAATGTGACCCCTCAATGACCCAATTTGAAACTCTAACTTTTGAATCAATTACTGTAGCTAATGTTAACCACCAAAATTTGAAGGCAGACGAAGTGTTTGCAGAGGTGGGCATCCACCTAGATCCAAAGCCCAAAGCAACAGTCAAGGCTTCCTTACAAACACACGCAAAGGCATCACTGAAAGCCAAAGTCGATACTGGTGCCCAAGGGAATATACTCCCCCTAAGATTATACCGGACGATGTACCCCTGCAAAATTGATCTGAAGGGCAACCCCAAGAAAGGAGCTACAAAACATTCTAATACTATCCTCACAGCATATGGGGGATCCAAGTTACACCACTATGGCACCGTCACCATTGATTGCGAATTCAAAGGCAAAAGATCTGCTGCACAGTTCTATGTCACAGACACACAAGGCCCTGCTATCATTGGCCTACCAACGTTGATTGACCTCAACCTTGTGAAATTCAATTGTGCCATACTCAAACAAGTATTACACAGCAACACACTATGGTCCACCACAAGAACCCCTGAGCAACCACCACTAACCACCAGAACCCCCGAACGACCACCAATACCCAAACCAATAAAGAGCAAAGAAGATTTGATAGATCAATACCCAAACTGTTTTAATGGCATAGGAAAATTCGAAGGAGAATACCACATAACCACCGACCCATCAGTCCCACCTGTTATCCACCCTCCGCGACGAGTTCCAATCAGTCTGAAAGATGACATTAAGAAAGAACTAGACGAGATGGTTGCAAATGGTATCATAACTAAAATAAACGAAGGAGAGCCCACAAGATGGGTAAACAGTCTTGTCTACAAAAGGAAACAGAATGGACGATTGCGTTTATGCCTAGACCCCAAAGACCTAAACACAGCTATCTTAAGAGAACATCACGCCATTCCTACCTTGGAAGAAATTTTACCAAAATTACACAAAGCAAAGTTCTTCTCAATAGTCGATGCAAAGTGTGGCTATTGGAATGTGGTACTTGATGAAGAATCAAGCTATTTAGCTACCTTTAACTCCCCATTTGGCAGGTACCGTTTCAAGCGTATGCCCTTTGGGCTGAACATGTCACAAGACATCTTCCAAGCAAAGATCGACCAAACATTCGAAGGATGTAGAGGCGTTGTGGGTATCGCAGATGATATTGTTATCTCTGGCACAACAGAAGAAGAACACGACCAAAATCTACGAAGCATGATGAGCCGGTGCCAAGACACAGGTCTGAGACTAAACCCTGACAAATGCCACATAAAGCAAGAGAAAATAAAGTTTTATGGGCTTATCTGCGGTCCAGAAGGAATTCAACCAGACCCTGACAAAGTGTCCGCCCTGAAGCAAATGGCCCCACCGACCAACAGCAAAGAACTACAGACATTCTTGGGTCTGGCCACCTATATGGCACCATTCATCCCGAATCTCAGTCACCACACTGCCTCACTGCAACAGCTACTCAAGAAGGAGAGCAAGTTTGCCTGGGACGCAAGCCAACAGGATGTGTTTGACAGGATCAAGAATTTAATTTCTGAAGAAGTTACACTAACATACTTCGACCCAGAGAAAGAGACAGTACTGCAAGTTGACGCATCAACAAAACGCCTGGGAGCTACACTCTTGCAAGAAGACAAGCCAGTCGCCTTTGCCAGTAAAGCTTTAACTGACGTAGAATCACGATACGCAAACATCGAAAGAGAACTCTTAGCAGTTGTATACGGATGCGAGAAATTTCACACTTATCTCTACGGCCGCAGTTTTACAGTCCAATC